GGGTCCCAGTTAGGGTTTAGGGTTTAGGGTTTAGTTTGAGGGTTTAGGGTCTTGGGTTTGGGGGTTTAGGGTTTAGGATTTGTTTGAGCTGGGCATCTCTAGGGCCCTAGGGTCCCTACCTGATTGTTCAGAAATCTACCCTGTTAAGGCCTTTATGGAAATCATGACAAGGACCCCTAGAAAAGGGTAGGTTTTACAGGGTTGAGGTAAGCCTTAAACTCCTAAAGTTTTCAGCTTGGGGAGATGTCCGGGGGTATTGGGTTCTGAGTGGTTCAGGTATGAAGGCTTAGACGGTGTAGGGCAGGGTTTAGGGGTTAGGGTTGAGGGTTTAAGCTTTTGGAGTCGAGGGGTTTGGGGTTTCAGATTGGAAGGTTTGAGCGGGTTTGTCTCCGAGATTTTTGTTTGGGTGGGTGGGTTTAGGCGGATGTTGTTGTTAAGATCGTAGGGGGACACAAAAAGCCCAACTTTATCCTTGAGTCCGGGAACGACGGCCATGAAGCTGTAGTTGGCTTCAGCTTGTGTTGTAACCACCATTGCTGGATTTGGATGTCGCGGTCTTCGTTTCATTGGGGTTATAAACAGACGTGTTTCCATATTCTCTGGCCCTCCGCGTTAGGAAAGTGCTGGGATTACGGGATTGCATAGGCAGGGTAACGGCAAAGCCTGAAACCTTTGACTCCTGCTTGTGGTCAACTCTTTACAACCCTACTACGCCCTACAGTTGACACACAAAGCCCACGAAGCCCTAGAGCAATGTGAAACCTACCCCCTTCCTCCTCTCATAAGACATAACACAATACGTCAAGCTAAACCCTAAACCCTAAACCCATAACATGTCGGACCTCCCCAAGAAGGTCCTCCGATCGGCCGTCACCGCGCCGGGGCTAAGGGGCCCGGCGCTGGTGCGGGCGCTTGCCGTTCCTTGGCAGCCGAAGCCCCCTCTCAACGGTTTCCGGCTTTGGGTTTAGGATTTTGGAAGCCCCCAAAAAGTTGGTAAGACTAGCCGAAGACCCATAAAGGGCCATGCTTCTACACAACTTTTAATATCCAGTCATGCCAGACCTCATGAAATATTGTGGCCTAGATGAATCATACTCGAGAGGCCTCTGACGTTTTCATGGGTGTATGTTATATAATCTAGTTTTCCACACGGACAATAAGCAGAACGTGACCTTAAGGGATATGGTGCATACTCCTAGCTTCGTAAAGTTTGCGCATGTTCTAGAGTGTAGAGCTCATAGTCACCAGTTTCCTGCAGCTTGGGCCACCAGTCTCCGTGGGCATAGGATTCACCTACACCCCCCAACTAGACCCTCAACCCTAAACACCAAAGCCTCTTAAAACTCATTCTTGAAAGCCTCTTAGGGTTCCTGCTTATGGCTTTGCCTCCATAGCCCTATCCTAATTATGCAGTGGGTTTAGGGCTTAGGGTTTTTGATAATGATTTGTCTCATCGAAACGCACCTAGATGGCACTAATCCCGGGCTCCCAAAATTCGAAACCCTGAACCCTAACCAACCCTCCAAATCCTCTTTTTCTGTAAGCCCCTAGGCCCTACAAGTTCTTAAAGCCCTCAACCCCAAACCCCTGTAGCCTAAACCTCAAACCCCTAAACCCTAAACCCCTCTAGAGCCTAAAGCTCAAACCCCTAATCCCTCAACCCCTAGAGCCTAAACTTCAAAACCCTATAGAGCCTAAACCTCAAACCCCTCAGACCCCTAAACCCTAAACCCCTCTAGAGCCTAAACCTCAAACCCCCATGATTAACATCTTTCAACCCTCTGAGACGCCCCAAGTTCCTTTACCCTTCTTGGTGGGGGGTCTAATGTAGGGGCCTAAAGAATTACCAACACGATATTGGGGGTCCTTATTATAAGTATAGTATAATTTATGCTATAATATACAACTAAACCTTATTTTAAGTGTTACGGCCCCTATATTAGCCCTTCTTGGTGGAGGGTCAGCCCTGAAACCGAAAAGCCGTGCTAAGCGACACAAGCCCCTGAACCCGGTAGGTTTCGGAGCATGGAGGAGATTTCGGGTCTTTGGCGGTTGTCTGGGGGTTTCGGTTCAAGGGAGCCGTTAGACAGAACTCTCGAAGGGACGCCCAAACAGAAACCCCTAAAACAACCCTATACCCTAGAACCCACCACAAGCAGCCCTGAAAGCAGCCCTAAATCCTAAGCGGTCTGACCTTTGACCTGGGGTTTGCAAGCCATTTTTGTTGTAAACAGTAGCAGGAATTCTTGGTAGCATTCCTTTATCGCCCCTATATAGTTATACGATAATGTAGCCCCAAGCCGTGATTGAGGCCCCTATGTTGAATAGAGAGCCTCCATGCATAAGGGGCGGGGACCAACAAGCGAGGCACTTGGTTAGTTGCCAAAAATGCCGAAAGGATCGAACAGCCATGGACCCTAAACCCTACCTTAACCCCAAATAACCTACCATGTTAAGGACTCATATAAAGAAATCATAGTAAAGAACTCTACAGAGGTAGGTTCTTTGGGGTCCAGGTAAGCCCCTTGTAGAGCTCCCCAAATGCCGATCCCAAGATCACAGTAGTGAGTCCTACACCCGAACACCATAGCCGCAGCAAGGACATGCTGGATGACAAAGAAGCATCAGCTACTCAGCGATGAGAGTCTCTCCGGGTCCAAGTAGCTAGGCAGGGCTTCGGGTTTTCTTCTTTAGGGTTTAAGGTTTAGGGTTTTAGGGTTTGGGGTTTAGGGTTCGAAGCTTTGCGGTCTAGGATCTGGGGCAGGCACAGTGAGTAGATCCCCGCATGTTAAGAGACTCGCTATGCAGCTTATACGCGCATGGAAATATCATCGTAAGCCTGATGTGGCTTTCCGGTAGCCTCAGGGAGTGAGAGTGTACATACACACACACACACACAAATACAAACACACCACTTTGCATGATTGTACTTCCTGCCTGGAACCTTAACGTAGCGACCACATGACCCGAATAATAGGGGCCTTATACCTTTTACAATCTGACTTCGCTTTTAGGGTACATCTCGTCCTTATGAGTCATTTGGGGAGCCTGTTATCTGCGCGGATCGAACATTTTATCGGCGTCCAATGGGCTGAAGCATTCCACACTCCACCTCCGGCATCCTGTAGACCCAAACTCTGCACAACAGTAGCCGTAGCCATGTCCCCTAGTTCGCTGGTTGCAACCCTGCAATCTGAGTATAATTCGAGCCCCAAGAGAAAATAAGCATGACAGCTTGTCTGGTGTTAGGGCCTTGATAATTAAACTAGGATTTGGGGGCATTTCATATTATAGATAACACAA